TCTGTCGAGAGATAGCCGGAATGGTTGTTTCCTCCACCTAGTCGGAGGGGAAGTTTATTGGTTTTCCTCCTAGTGGGGAAACCAATTTAGGTTTGGTTTAAGAAAAACCAAAATTTTACCTATTATGATCCATGAGATTGTTATTGGGCTAAGGGTTATGAGGGAGTATATATATGACTCCAAACCTAATTTTGGTGAAGGAGAAACTAATTGAAGAGAGGCAATTTTCGTAGGCTAAGAAAAAGAAAAACAGTTTCGTCAGAGTTTGTTCAAGAGAACGTTTGGAGGCTTAAACGTACTCCGATTTGGCTGAAATTTTTGGGTTAGCTTCGTGACTCAGTGATCTTGATATTCAACGGTGGAGATTGTATTTCAACGGTTGGTTCGTCGCAGATCTGGGTTTTAACGAGGMTGTTCGCTGCTGTTGCGAGTTCAGATTTCAAACTATATTGTCTTGAATGTTTGGGAAATCCGACGGTGAATTCTTCTTGGATTGAGCTGAAATTTGGCAGAGRTATTTCTGACTTGTTTATCTAGGATTTRTACGGTGGAGATCTGATTTGGKGACCKGAATCCTAGTGAATTTAGGGTCGTTTGGGACTGCTTGTTTCTAGGCTCTTGTATTGCTCTCTTGTGGTGTTTCTTGTGTTAGAGATCGCTCTTTGGAGTCTTAGTCTCTGGATCTGTTCTTTGGGAACATAGAGAACATGGTTGTAACTCAAATTTGATATTGTGGATTTTTTAGTGGACTACGGTTCCGTGGTTTTTACTTCTCACATCGAGGAGGTTTTCCACGTAAAATAATTCGTTGTCTCATTTACTTTACCGCTTTGATTTGCTGCTGTCGTATTCTATATTTTTCTCACAGGTTCACATAAGTGTGGAGAAATTTATTCCGCTGCGCCATTGGTGCTTATTGTTTTTCCTCAACACACTCACCTCCCTGACTGTCTGAAAAAAATCGTGGGCCGCACTTGCAAATTCCAGGTCAAGGGAAAACTATACAACTTTGGTGCTTCTCACCAAATTATCACTATCTCCCGCATAGTTGACGAAGAGGTGGAGACGTAATCAGTGGAAGAAAACTTCACCATCGATGATGTCAAGGAGAAGGATCCCACTGCTAAAACGAAAGACAAGCGCATCAAACCTCTGACGGTCACGATATGGAGGTGAGATTGATCTCATGGTTGGAGAACCAACGACAACTATGGAGCTAGCCTCCTCCGAAGCCATCGACTCGACTACTAAACACAAAGAGAAGCGTCCCAGGCTCGATAGAAACCTACATGGAGCCATCTCTCAATCTCGTTTTCAAAACTCTTTCTCTAATTACTTTACGCATCTCATAGCCTATGTTGCCTCTATGGTTGCAACTCTAAGTTTTTTAAAATTTATTGTTCTCCACTCTCTTATACAAGGTATTTGTCTGCCAATTGGCAATAATAAGGATTAATTTTAATAGACCTTTATTTTTGTTAGACATAAATTTTTCTAAGAAGAAACTGAGGGTAATACTTTCTCGAATAAGTTGTTCCTTGTTATTATTTTTTTTTTTCATTATCTTACAATTGGACATGTGTTTACATTTTTAAGACTAACTAAACATTTTTTTTTAAATCTTCATTGCGCTTTAGTAAACTCCCGATATTTTGTAATATCACGATTTCTCGAGCAAGGAAACGTCCGATTTCTTACGTTTGCGTTCACAACAACCAAATTTTGGAGACGTTTTCGCAATTTTATGAACATAAAATTTCTCGAAATGTGTCTACCACTTATACCAAACTTTCTAAAAGGTTGATTGCATATTTCTTTTGAATCCTCCTTAAACTTCCGCTTCCAAAAACTAGTCAAAATTCTCGAAACTCATTAAGATATATACATATAACCAAAAACAATAAGAGTAGTCGTTACTGTAAAGCATATTTTGTTAACGAGATGTTACTAAAAATTCTCAATCAAATTCTATAGGTTAAACAGTCGTAGAGAACATTAGATTACTACATTTTTCACTAGCACCCGCAACTCCCCTCTCAATGACCTAAAGACCGTCTTCCATTATCTCCCAAATTCTATTTTAAACTTCAAGAAAACGTGAAGGAGACTGTGAGTTATGGTCAAAGGTCACTTATATGGTTTAAAAAAGAAAAGAAATTTCATATTTTCATCACATGATTCATCTCTTTTTTTTTGGATTTCATCTTTTATATATTTTATTCTGCTTACCAGATATTTTGATTCCCTTTAGCTCTCTTGAAACAACTAATAAGGGATCCACTCTTGCACAATCAACAAACATGTGAAAGTCTCGGAAAACATGATGAGGATATGTTTCCCGAATACGCTATGACACACAAATCATAAAAAGACAAA